CCCTGGGTAGAGTGCTATGGCATCACAGCTCACAGCAACCTCCAACTCCTGGGCTCAAGCGAGTCTCCTGCCTCAGCCTCCCAAATAGCTGGGACTATAGGTGCCCGGCTATTTTTTGGTTGCAGCCGTCATTGTTGTTTGGCAGGTCCGGGATGGATTCGAACCCGCCACCTTGGGTTTACGTGGCTGGTGCCTTAGCCACTTGAGCCACAGGCGCCGAGCTGGTTACTTTTTCTGATGTCTGGTAATTTCTGGATGTCTGTTTATATTTCAGAGTAGAAAAAAATGTTATTTGAAAAACCTTGATAAAAGATGGAACTCCTTGACTGCAGGCTATACCGTAGATTGATTGACTGGAAATTTCCAATAGTGAAAACTTGGTTGTCTACATCCTGAAAGCGGAATGGGGGTAAGAGGGCTTGACGGGAGATCCCTGACATTATGCATTTATTAACTTACTAACGTATGTCCCTGACAGTAGGCATATATTAATTTATTCTCCTGACTTCTGAGCACTTAATTCGTCCTTCAATTGTGCCTGGTGTGTTCAACAAGAGGGTTCACCCCATATTCTCGCTGGAGATTGAGCCTCTTGTCTTTGGTAGAGTAGGCATGATGTAGTCGCCCAGTTTCACAAAATGAAGGAGTGCATCTGACTGAGTCTTAAACATATTTTTAACATTTTTTTGGTTCCCCCCTCCATTACCACCCAATTGTGAAGACACATAGAGGTACCACCTCCTCAGCTTTTGAGATTTTGCTATAAAATGGTTGGTTCTCTCCTGTCCCCACTATCAGCTTTGAATCAGTTTTCTCTTGCACACTTCAAAAAATTTAATTACTGTGGTCTCTCTTATTTCTCACTATTTTTTTGTGTATGTTTCTTCACTGTCCCTTTGGTAAAATTTAAGAAGACAAAGAAAGCAGATGAGTATATTTAATTCACCATCTTTACCAAGAAGTTTCCTAATACATGAAACACTCAAGTACCGCTTTATTTTCATATTGTAGGCAAAGCCTCTCAGGGACTTCACTATTCTTTGGTTACAAAAAGGTCTATGCCTTTCTTGATTTAGGAATGGAGCTATAGTTCTGGCATCTCCCTTCATTATTAACTTAAGGGCTCTCTTTGCCTCTTTCCTATGTTGAATTTTTGTTCCTTAAGTCCTGTATCTTCTTCCTTACCGATCAATCACTTGGTTTTGGCTAGCTTCCTCAGAAACTACATGAGAGATAATATTTTAGTGCTTTGTATCTGAAAAGTGTTCACACTTCCTCTTATTTTGCTTAGTGCTAGGATTCTAGGTTAGTCATTTTCAGAATTTAAGGCCCTGCGCTGTATTATACATTGTAACTTCTAGATTCCATTGTGGATAAGAGTTCATGAATTACTGATGAGACTATTTGAAACTTGATTTTTACCTTCCTCTAATAAATTTAAGATTCCTTTCTGCTCTTAGTATTCTAAAATTTCACAAGCATGTGTCTGACTGTGCCATTTTTGTTCACATGTTCACCTAGCAGGTCCTTTTAATAGAGGAAATTCATGTCCTTCAGTACTCATGAAACTTTAAAAATCACTTAAAAAAATTTGGTTCTTTGGCTTGGCGCCTGTAGCTCAGCAGCTAGGGCACCAGCCACATACACTAGAGCTGGTAGGTTCAAACACAACCCAGGCCTGCCAAACAACAATTGACAACTACAACAAAAAAATAGCTGGGTGTTGTAGCAGGCACCTGTAGTCCCAACTACTTGGGAGGCTAAGGCGTAAGAATCACTTAAGCCCAAAAGTTTGAGGTGGTTGTGAGTTGTGACACCATGGCACTCTACCGACATAGTAAGACCCTGTCTTCAAAAAAAAAAAAATTGTTTTTCATTTCTCTTTCTTAAACTCTATATTTTCAGACATTAGACCCACAAGACTGACTTTTTGAATTATCTTTTCATTGTTCATTTCATCTTTTTCATTTTGTTCTATATTCTGGGAGCTTTTCATGATTTTTATCTGTTAGTACTTTTACTGTGTTTATTTATTTGCGCCATCATATTTTTAATTTCTAAGAGCAATTTTTATAGCTACTTATTCTTTTTTTTTTTTTTTT